TTACGGCATGAAACTTTCCAAAGTTTGTAACAAATTTTGAGATTTAACGGATCTTTATTTGTATCTGTGTAGCTCAATAAAAAAACAATCAGATTTAAAGTATTGAAAAGTAAAGATTTTAAACTTCAAAATATTTCTCGTAACATCTCTTTTTAATAATCATTTTTGTTAAAGTTACACTCACTTTTTTACCAATTTTTTGAAGTGTGTAAGGTGTTGTTTTAATTTCCAATGGTAATATAAAAAAGGCAGATATATTAAATATATCTAATTAGAATTTATATTTTGTGAAATCATGAATTTTAATTTTGAAAATAGAGATTTTAAACATCTTTTTATTTTCTTGCTTTTTTTCAGGAGTTTAGTTTAATACTGAAATAAATCTTTTTATTCATCTGTTTCCAATAGGATGAATTAAACTTTTTTTTTTAATGCATAATAAACCAAATACTAAACGTACTTTTTGTCCGTACTACGAACAGCTAGTTGAACGACGTATTTCGGATAAGAAAATAAAGCCATCGTTATCCTCGTGACCTCTTTAATTCTTCTATACAGTTGTGTCACGATAACTTTGTGACTCAACCACGTATGCTTGGTCAACATTTTCACTTGTTGTTTTAACGGCTTTAAACGTTCTTGAGTCTTGCTTGACGAGGCGATATTCTTGATCTTTACTCTCGTCTCTTTTGTCTCGTCCTCCTCGACGATCGCTTTGAACCATAGGCCCAGAAGGGCCACCCCATCGCCTAGAGAATGATGAATGCGAATTAGCACGGGAATTTTCCGGGTGTCGGTGTTGAAGCTCTCATCGGGACATAAATAATCCTTTTCGTGAGATCTGGATCTCGGGCAGCGTCTCCCGACGAGAATCTCCCACGCGGCCCGGCCATCATTGGGCAACGGTTTGGTGCACACGCTTTCTAAGGTCTTCCTGAAGGACTCGCTGCAGATATTCTCGCAGGATCCGTCGCAGTTGGCGTTCACACACTCCAGCCATCTGATCCTGTCTTTCAGGTTCACCGTCTCGCTTCTCTCCCAAAAATAGTAACCGAATTTCTGACTTCGAAGGTAAAACATTTTTTCAAATGTCGTGCCAGCGGCCTTCGAAACAATCCGTTCATTCATCAGAATTCTTAAAGACTCCAGGAAGTTCGCGTTTGAGTCCTGCGGAGCTTTTTCCAGTATCATCAAGGTATTGATAATGCATGGAGAAACGGCGTCTTCAATAGCCCATATGCAATCCATGCCCTCCAAGAGACCGGCGAACTTGTCCCGCAACTGGATTCTTAATGCGAACTCGACCAAACGACGGTATATGTATAAAATGATTATAGCGATCATGATGAGAGGTGCGACTAGGAAGACGCAAGCAGTTCCTAACAATTCCCACAATCTCCGACTTGTAATTCCATTTAAAACGATCGAGTTTAATCTCTCTCTTTCTGGTTGCATCTCTCGTCTGAAAATGAGAAATTTGTTGAATAATTCTAATTGCAACAATTTTAGTTTTTTTATTATTCCATTAATATCGAAATCCAGACTAATTCTCAAAGTATTTAATTTCTTAAGCTGAATTCAATAAAATTTCACGCAGTAATTGAAATGATCGTCCTGGTAGAAATTTCATGCGTTTTTTTAGCAGTTACTAGAGAGTTTTACTAACTTCTGTCTAGTAACTGAGAAATAAAACTACTTAGAATCCCAATCAAGATGTAACGCTTTATCTGCAATTACTGCGCACAAAATCTGAACTTGTTTACTGAGCAAAAACGAGACAATAAATAGACTATTCAACTGATTAATTAGTAATCATGCTGCTCATGAAATGGGCAGTTTTGCTCTAATAATATTTCGTATTTTTGTACGCATGCTTGCTTATTGTAAAATTTTAAAGTTAATGAGCCATAGTGTCAGAAATCTTTAATGCATAATATATATTGTACTAGAAATAGCATAATATATAGTATGTACTGAAGATTTTCTGTATTTATGACTTTCATTAATTTCACTTATTTTTATATTCAATAGTATATGTTAAAACAATTTTTACATTTCTCTTAAAAAAAATTTTATTTTTCAGAAAATTATACTTTTAACTAGCTAACGTACTAAATTACACACATTTATATTATGTGCTAACATAAACATACATAAACATATATAACTAGCATACGTACTAAATTACCCACATTATTATGTGCAAACATAATAATGTGGGTTATATAGGTTATATAGGTTATATAGGTTAATATAAAAATTAATAACATAATTTTTATTCGTCATTATTATCATTAATTTCATTATTCTCAGAATAATTTGATGCGTTCTCACTACAATATAATTCTATATTATATACATTATTTGTCCTTTGTTTACTTTCAATTTTAACTGTAGTTGTTATTTTTGTCTAAAGTTTTGCCTTATTAAATTCCTTATTTCTTTCAACTTCTTTTTCCTTGCTCTATGTTTTTCTACACGTTCACTTATTTTTCACACTGTTTAAGATCGTTTAACTTTTAACTTATGATTAATATAATATAGTCTGTGTATACTTTAAATTAAATAAATATTATGATGTCCTGAAAAGACAACAAATTTTGCCAAATATTTAAATGTACATGCGCAGTAAACTCTCAATGAAAGTGTTTTGTTTTTGTCAATTTTTGACCAGTTTATACGGAGTATTTTAACTATTATTAATCTGTTAATACTAAACAATAACTGGACAAATATTTACGCAAATTGCACATATTTTTATCAGGAAAACTGCTTCAACCATTGCATCAAAACACTATCAAGTTTTTGTCCATTTCCGGCGCAGTATTATTACAACTAATGAGAACACAGTAATACTAATCAGTAACTGGATGAGTGTCTATGA